AGAGGCAGATACTCTCAGCAGGAAGATGTCGTCAACCCATGAATGGGAGCTGGACAACCAGATTTGCAGAGACTTGTTCTCCCATTGGTGTACTCCATCCTTGGACCTGTTTGCAACGGCTTCCAATTCAAAGTGCAAGACTTACTGCTCCAGGGTGGGATGAGAGCTGCCAGGTTGCTGATGGGGACTGGGCGTTGTTCTCATATAACCCCAGTTCTCCATCAGCTTCACTGGCTCCCCACTGAAGTCCAGGCCCAATTCAAGGTGCTGGTTATGACCTATAAAGCCCTCAACGGCTTGGGTCCTGGTTATCTAAAGGAACACTTGTGTCCATATATGCCCTCCCGCCCCTTGAGATCAGCAGCAGAGGCTTTTCTCCAGGAACCCTCCATGAAAGATATTAGGAGGGTTAATACCCAGAGGAGGGCCTTCTCTGCGGTGGCGCCCCACCTATGGAATGCACTCCCCAGAGAGGTCCGCCTGGCACCATCGTTATTTGTTTTTTGGCGCCAGGCCAAGATCTTTTTATTTAAAAGTTATTTTAATTGTTAATTTATGAATTGCATTTATTGGGTTTTTATGTACATGCTGAGATGTTTCCGGTTTTTTAACTTTAATTATATAACTGTTTATTTATGTTTATTTATTAATGTTGTAAGCCACCCCGAGGCTTTTTGCGAATGGGGCGGCATAAAAATGGTTTAAATAAAATAAAATAAATAATGATGGTGAGTTGGTCAGGCTCTTTCCTATAAAGCCTTCCCTCTGAACCCGCTGATCACCCATACCCTGGAGAAGGCTGCTCGTGACAGGGTACGGGCCATTCTTATCACACCATGGTGGCCCCGACAACCATGGTTTCTGACAGTCCTCAACCATCGTACGTTCTTCTGTCTACCACGGATCCTTCACCTAATCACGCAGGAGAAGGGGGCAATCCTTCACCCCGACCTCGATACCCTCATCCTCATTGTGTGGCTCCTTCACTGACTGCTCCTGATTGTTTACCCCAGGTTCTGGGAAACCCGTCGGCCCCAATGCCTACCCCTCATCTGTCGGCATGGGAGCCTCGGTTGATACTGAGTGACTCCACCCGGGCCTTCACTGGCCCAACAGAAGATTAACTTCATCCTGCAATCTGCCCTGCGACCATCCACCCGCCAGTCATATGAGGCAAAATGGAAGCACTTCGTCACCTTTGTGAAAACCAACCACTTCACCCCCAACACCGCTTCATCGATAACATCCTCTTCTTCCTGCTCTCCTTACACCAAAATGGACTTAAACCCACTTCCATTAAAGCGTACATAGTGGCTATTTCCCACTTTGATGGTCCCCTATCTGGATCCTGTGTTCTCCCACACGCTTATCCATCGCTTCCTCAAAGGGTTACAGAATCTCCATCCTCCAACCCGACCATTGATACCGACCTAGATACCAACCCAGCATCCACGCGCTGACCAGAGCCCCCTTCGAACCTATAGCTACAAACCTTTCGAGGTTGCTATCATGGAAGGTGGCCTTCCTAGTCACCATTACGTTGGCGACAAGAGCAAGCGAACTCTGCCCTGCGCATGGACCCACCGTACCTCAATTTCCATAAGGAGAAGGTAATCCTACGAACCGACCCAGCATTCTCCCTAAGGTTGCTACAACCTTTCATGTCAACCAGGACATCGTTCTACCAGCATTCTTCCCTACTCTGTCCACCCCGATAGAGAAATCTCTTCACTCTCTCGATGTAAACCGATGCCTGGCCTTTTATCAATCACGCACAGAGGGTTTTCGAAAGACTAAGTGCCTCTTCATTAAGTACTCCGATCCCGATAAGGGCGCTGCCGTCTCTGCCCAGAGGCTTTCGAAATGGATTGTACAGACCATCGAACTGGCGTACCAGCTAGCCAAGCTGGATTTCCCCATCGCCCCCAAGGGGCACTCTACCAGAGCCGTGGCTGCCTCCTCGGCTTTCTTAGCGGGCGTCCCACTACCGGACATTTGCAAGGCTGCCACATGGACGACTCCTTGCGCCTTTACCAGGCATTACAGACTCAATGTTCGAGCCAGACAGGACTGTTCCTTCGGACAGGCCATCCTCTCATCCATCCTCCACTGACAACACCGACCCACCTCCAGTCAGTTAGCTTGCTAATCACCCATTATGTGTGATGCACAGAGACCACGAAGAAGAAAGCCAAGTTGCTTACCTATAACTGTCGTTCTTCGAGTGGTCATCTGTGCAGTCACACAACCCACCCACCAGCCCCACTCGGTGTCAGAGGACGGGACAATAGTCTGCCTCTATTGACTCCTCGAGTCAACCACACGCCTCGCTAGGGGGCGATCTGCCGGTCTCCATAGACTGAGGAAAATGGTGGGCACTCCGCCCTATATAGCGCCATGGGGGAGGGGTGTGGAGTTCCTGCCAAAATCCATTGAAGCTTTGGTATTCTGCTTGGTGACAGGCACTGCGCAGGTGCAGTACCCATTGTGTGCTGTAAAGGGTCTGTAAAGGAGGCTTACAGATCTAAGACAACCAAATTTAACAATTGGTGACTCCAAATCTGAACAAGGTGACTCTACAATAAAAACCTCGTCTGAAAACAGCCAAAGGTACCATTGGCCCAATGCTGAAATCACAACCCAGGTTTAGTGGGTTTTTAAAAAACCTCCTGGGTTATTGTGAATTTGGTGGCTCCCTGTGTTGTTCAGCGGCACGTTGTGAATCAGAAATCTCAGGCTGCTGGAACAGAGATATCCCAGAGTTAAGCTATGTATATATGTAAATACATAAATATATATCCCACATATGGAATGCAGCAATGACAGCAGACTATACGATAGCCTAGTTCAAACAACCTGGGCCTTGTTTTTAAAAGCCTACATTAGCTCCTATCACTTGCAGTAACAATCAGGTTGAAGGAGTAAACAGTTCTCAGTTGACTTCTGTTCTTCTAGTTCTCACAAACCCAGGATTTAAAAATCAAAGTCATCATGTGGCTGCCAAAGGCATCACTATTTATTAGTATATGGAATATAACTATGCTCATGCAGTATACTGAATAAAATACTTTTAAGCCCTTCACCACGGATGTCCAAACTATGAAACTAAAGCACCACCCAGTGGTCAGACTGGTTTGTACACTTCAATATTTCAGTTTACAACTTTTTGAGCATAATTTATGGAGATAAGCATCCACATATCTATTGTTCGAGTTTACACAATAATCTGGAAGCTTGGGAATTGTCTTTACTCGATGATTAGTGTTTGTTTAATACTATAGTTCAATGGGCGTTAATAAGGAAAGGTACCACAAATTCCAAATTACCAGCATGGTTAACTGTATTTATTAAAAACATTTGTATGCCACCCAATTGTGCCACAGCACTTCTGGGCAGCTCACAACCCAATACAGAAACATATAGATTTTGAGGACACTATTAGGGAAATATCCCTTCAGAAAATGGAAGCCTTGGCCAAATGAAATAAACAGAAAGGATGACAAGCTTGCACAAGGGAGATATAAGCAAAGCAGTAAGAGAAACAAGGAAGCATATCATTGAGTCCAACAGTAAATAATTATATATATATATATATATATATATATATAGAGAGAGAGAGAGAGAGAGAGAGAGAGAGAGAGAGAGAGAGAGAGGCTGGACCACTGGATGAAAATACAATTAAAGGAGCACCAAAGCTGGACAAAGCAAGGGCAGAGAAGCTGAATGCTATTTTTTTATCAATCTTCAGAGCAGAAGATAAAATGCAGATACCTGTTACCCTAGCTTATGTATTCTGGAAGGGAGTTGGAGGAAAACTCCACTGCATTGGGTTTCAGAGGGCAGGTGCTGCTTATGTGCCCCAAAGGAATATCAGCAAGAACCCCCATAAGGCAGAAACGTTTTGCTGCTGGCAAGAGCAGACCAGATTCAGACTTCTGCTCATCTATCATCATCCTGTAGATTACACACTTAGGAGAAAGTAACCTTTTTAAAAAGCTTTAAACAAATAATTTCCTATCATAACTGCACAAGTCAAGATAATCCAATTGTATTCCTTGTATTCCTAAGCATAAATTTATGGGTGTGAAAACTGGACAGTGAAGAAAGCTGCCAGTAAAAAGTGATGCATTTGAAACATGGTGCTGCAGAACTTTGTGACTACCTTGAACTGACAGAAAGGCAAGTAAGTGCATTCTTGATCAAATAAAGCCAGAGTTTTCCCTAGAAACAAAAATGGCAAAACTGAGATGATCATACTTCTTGCACATCATGAGAAAGCAAGACTTACTTAAGACAAACATCATTTTAGAGAAAGCCAAAGTCAGAAGACAAAAAGGAAGACCAAATATGAGAAAGACTGACTTCATAAAGAAAGCCGCAGGTCATTCTGGAGGGCTACCAGTCATAGGGGTCACCATAAGTTGGAGACCTGATGGCACATAACATTCCTACATCACCAAAGCAGTACCATCCAAATACCACAGGAAGGCTCCAGCAAATCCGAAAATACCCAAAGATTTGCAGTGATGGAGATAACCAAAGAAGAGGGTTCTTAGGAATAAATGCTGAGAAGAGAACTTAACTAGCTACTCGGAACACGCTGCAACATGTTGCTGCAGCCCTCATTTATAAGTACTAAACAACAGGGAGGTAAAAGTATCTTTGAGACATCGCCAAGATTCGCAGCATAACAAATATTAAGGAAAAATATATAAAGGGAGCAAAAAGCAAAACAAATGGAAGACGCAATGAAGACAAAACACCTTCCACATCCAACGAACTGCGGCCGAAACCCAGAGAATGAGAAGGAGAATGTGCGGAACTACAGGCTGTACTGCAGCACATTCTTACTCTCGCTCAGGAAAAACGCAGCGCCAAACACGAACCTTCTGCCCATTTCCGGCGGAAGAAGAAGCTCCGCCAGCCCCGCCCCTTCTTCGATGCCCGCGATTGGGCGGGGCTTTTCCTCCGCTATAAAGCTCTCGCGAAGCGCTCGCTTCTCTCTTTCCGGATGTCCCTTTGAGACGGCAGTAGGAACGGTGCGTGCGGGGGTGAAGCGATTTCGCTGGCCTCGAGACGGACACGGCTCTTCTCAGTCTGTACTTCTCCAACTGATGGCTGTTCTGCTTTCGCAGAGGAGCGTCTCCTCTTGAAATCTCGAGGAGCCGCTCGAAAGCTTTGAGGAGGAGGCCAAAACTGAGCGCGGGGTGGCCAGGCCAGGTTGGGCCTGTGGGGGCAAATGCTGTGGGGTGTCTTGCGGACGACTCCTCGCTTTAAAGAGGGGCCGTTCGGGAGATGGGAGGCCCCGAGTGAGGAATCCCAGGTCGGAGGCCGGGCCGGGCGGATTAGGGAAAATGAAACTGACCCGTTGTGCGTGACGAGGGCGAGCGATGCCCGCGTGCTGCGCGTCGTTCCCAGCGGCTGGGCTGCGGCGGTGCCCGAGAGCGCCCCCCCCCGCCCTTGTTTCTGGTCCGCCATCTTGGGCCAGAGGCGCGGGCGGAACGCGATCCCGGTCCCGCCTGCCGACGCTGCGGAAACCATCTCCATGCTTCCATGGGACCTGCCATTGTGGCAGCCTCCCTTCCTATTCATGGTAGAATAACCGTCACCTTGCTTTTTGGCATAGCTCCCCCACCATGCCATTGGGGAGAGATTCTGACTTGGGCAAGTAACAGGTTCATTGGGAAAAGGCTACGAATACGGGGTGAGAGACTCGCTAGCCTAAACGGAGAGGGGGGAAATCATTTGGAAGCAAACTGGTGTTTCCCACGTATTACTGTTTAGTACTATTTAGGGTGTAATCTGTGCTAACTTCATTCAACTTCATTAACTCTTAAGCTTACTTCATTGCATTGAATTTAATTCATGGCTAACTAAAGTTCCTTTTGTTTCTTAAGTAAGTAGAGATTGTGGTGCATGCTGTCTTGCCAGTACCTGACCTGTGGTCTTTTAAATGAATTATAAAGCAAGCTATAAATACTTCTGCATGAAGTCTAATTTGGTTATACTGCTATAGAAGTGTTGAAAGTGCTTTACGAATATTAGTGTAGAAACAATTGGAGTTTTTAAATAGATTGGGAATTAAATTCGTGGCAGAGGGACCTATTACAAAAAAGGGAACTAAAAGGAATTGTTCTTTTAAAAGATAAGGCTTGTGTGCTGTGCTTGATTGTTTTCCGGGCATGTGTATGTATCTTAGTTTAGGACAATTTTTTGGTTTAAGGAAATGAAATCATGCATTATATCGACAAATCTTAGGCTAGAAATTTTACTATTTTATATTTCTTTTTGCAGGGTACCTGTGTTTGAATATCTGAATATTAACGTGGATGTTAAATAATTCAACCATTATTTCCTCTGAGAATGTTCATGCATTAGGATAGTCCTGACTCGACTCTGGATCAGTGATGAGATTTTGTAGTGTGCATTTGTAATGCCCACTGGAAGGATCAGGGATACAGAAACTTGACTTCATCTAAGTCCCCATTGACAATCAAATTCTGAATTTTCTTCTCCAGTATGACAGAAGCTTTTAAAATTTGTGGCCTTTAATGTGTTTAGCCAGAGCCAGTTTTCCCTTTGGACAAAAATGCTTCCTGTCCCTAGCCTGGCTACAGCAGTCAGTGTATATAACTCAAGATACCATGTCAGAAGCATTTGGTAACCTTCCTTTAAATAAATCTGTCACTACTGAGTGCTGTTTAAATAGCTGGATTTTCTGCTCTTGGAGCTCTCAAGGCACTTAAATACTCTGTAGATGCCTGTTGAATAACACTGGTCTACAGATTTTGGGAAATTACTGACCACTGAGATCAAATGTGCTAATTCTTACATGTTTTGATTAAATGAATTGGAAAACAGGTGATTAAGGTGCTGGTTGGCTAAAGTTTTCAAGATTTTTCACAATAAAAACTTCTGCACAGGTGAGTTTATTTGCCTGCAAGGGAAGATGTCTGATCATGATGCCTTGTAACCTAATTTATTCTTTTATTGCAAGGTACATTTGTTTTGGTCAGGTCTACAGATCATACAGTTATATCTGGTGGCTTGTTAAAGTATCATTGCCTAACTTTTCCAAGGAACATTTGCATGATCCTTTCCCTCAGAAGCCAAGATGCCTCAAAACTCTGTAAACAATGCAGATAATTTCTGCTACATTGTGGTGAGGTTATATTTGCATCTCAAAAGTGCAGTATGACAGCAGTGGTAAAGGCATACTACCTATATTTTGGGTGCAAAATAGGGGATCAGGACAAGAGTTGGGCCCCTCATTGTTGCATTAAATGTGCAACTTGATCTGTGTATTATCAACTTACCTACAAGAAACAAAAATCGGCCTTTTGCAGTCCGAATGGTGTGGAGGGAACCCACTAATAGTAGCAACTGCTATTTTTGCATGGTTCCCCCAGTTGCAAAAGGGATCTCAAGAAAAGTGAATCATAGAATATCCAAACATTCCCTCTGCACTGCTTCCTGTACCCCATGGTGAGGGCTTTGCAATTCCACATCCACCAGAATCCTACTCTAGACTCAGACAATGAACGGGATGCAGCTGATCCGGGACCATCGATGTCAGCAGACCCAAACTTTAGCCCACCAAATGCTCCTCAACCACATCTGATTTCACAGAGTGAACTAAATGACCTGGTCAGGGATTTGGAATTGCCTAAGAGTAAGGCAGAGCTGCTGGGCTCCACATTACAACAGTGGAACCTCTTGCAGAGCGATGTCAGGATCTCCATTTTCCATGATAGCCAAAAAGATCTGGTTCAGTATTTCTCAGTGGAAGGTGATTTGGTTTATTATATCAATGGCTTAATGACAGCCCTGATGGAAAGTTGTTACTGGTATCAATAAAAATATATAATGATTGGTGTGGCACCATTTTCATTTCTCTATCACTTCGCAGAAAAGTTATGGAGCATAATCACACATTCCCCCTTTGTAATTTTGTATTATGTTGATACCATTTTGACCTGAAGCTGTATCTTAGAAACGAGCCAATTAATACTTGGGACTTAATTGTTCTTTATTAGTAACCCAATTCTGGTAAAATGTAACTACTTTCATTTCTGAGGCTTTCTCCTTGTAGACAAGTATAATTTGTGCAAATGATCACCCATGTGTTGGCTTCCTGTGACTGTAGATAATTGCCTTATACTGTGGCTTCAGCATATTAAAGTACAACTGAAGAAATCCTTGTTGCTGTGTGTTAAATTGTAAATGTGTGAATTATATTTTCTGTTTTATGAATTGAATTTATTGCATGTTTAGTGGTTCACCAAGTGAAGGGAGTTTCATAATTAGGCATATACATCCACTTAGAATTCCACTGTGATAACTTGATTTAGGCTGTGTAGTTAACTGGGAACAAGCCCCATTAAACACAACAGCCATTTAGCTGGAAGAAATAGGCAGCTGAATGGCTTGTTGCCTTTTGTAGTATAAAAAGCATTGTAAAGGAATAGAGCAAAATCTGTTCAAAGTGCAATACAAGGAGAATGGCAACTGATCTTAAACATGCTAGGTATTGAATGCTAGTTGTAGTAATCTCTGGTGTCCCTTACTGCTTCCCTTATTTGGTGGAAGCTGACAGAACACCTTGACCTTGTGCCTGAGGTTTATCTCCGTCTATGAGCTGCTTTGTTAGCACTTTCCATTCCTACAAAGTAGAAGCACATCCCCTCAAAATTGACTTTAATGACATTCCCATGTTGTAACAACTTGTAGCTGAGGATCAAATTACCTGACATTGCCTTTATGTACAGGATTCCTTGTCCCCGAATAATCAGTGAAGGGTTGAGCCAGTTTGAGGGCAGTAAGGGGCTTTGAAGGGGCTGATGCCCCATATGTTAAAATGATCTTCCCTAACTGTCCTTAAGGATTCTCTGTATTCCTGACAAGTGACCAGCTGGCTAGGACTGATGACTGAACAACTGAAGCATGCCAGAAATTGGCATGGTTGCACTATATTTTGGATTAAGTCCCCTGTACTGCTTATTTCTGAAAGAAAAATCTTGTCTTTGAGGGCAAGATGTGTGGTGTTACATGCATTTTCTCACACTTTGAGGAGAGCTGCATATTGTTTCTCCATTTATCTCTGCCCCTGCTTTCCATCCATTCCTGTTTGTTTACAAATTTTTCAAGACATTTTTCTTGAATTATAGTCATCCGTGCAGATGAGCCTGGCTCTTCATAGAATGGACCTGTTCTCTCCCAAGGAGCTTTACAACAAATTTAAGTATAGATTAGTAGAGCTGGAAGGGGCCATCAAGCCCAATTCCCTCCCCATTGCAGGGCTCCCAAGTAAAACCACCACAGAGTTCCTTCTTGAAGGTCTTTAGAGTGGAAGATGGGATGGGAAAATTTCAGTAGTTGTGATTTAGTTCGAGTAGAGCACTTGGTCTAAGGGGTTATGTCACAGCTTCACAGAGGACAAATTTGAAGAAAAAATGCTGCGTGGGTATTAAGGGGAACAGCTCCATAACAAGTGGTAGTTTGCTGGAGCACAACACCACGTGGTACAAGGAGTAACCAAGGTGTGCATTTTACAGATGTATTGGAACAGGGGAGCTGGTGGTGGCTTCTAGGGGTAATAAATTCTATCTTGGTCACTAGGGGGAGCACTACTGTTGCATCACTTCTACTAACCAAAATTCTATGAGAAACTTCCAATGATGATTGAAGCTTTTGGTTTCCTGATTGGTCCACTTGGCACAAAATGCTGTGGTATGTGATGTTTACAGCCATCAAAACAGTGATCAATGCATAAGATGTATTCTGTGTGCATAAGTGGAAGCCTTGAAAATAACAGTACCTTGCCTAACAAGTGAACTTAAAAAAAATTCTGGCTGTTAGAAAACCCATTTCTTCTAGACTTACAAAACTGAACTGAAAGGGCAAAAATTTTCCTTGGTAAAACTTGAAGGGTTATACAAATAATGAATGCACACTACTATTTTTGTTACCACCTAACCAACCAAAGACTAGAGCAGGGGATGTGGGAAGACCCTGGTTAGAACTTGTGTAATGAAGCCTGGCAATAAGAACTGAGGGTGTTAATTGCCATCTTGTGAAGAGTATAAAGGAGCTCCATAAATGGCACATTTTATTGTACAGGTTTACACTATATGGGTCTGCAGGTCTAAGCAGAATGTAAGACAATACTGTGATAAAAATGAGTTTTTAAGCACTACTAAATTCTCATTCATGCTACAATATATTTTGCTATGTAATGCAGCTGCTGTCCTTAAGATACAGCAAAATAGTGAATTTACAAATTAAATTTTTGAAAACAGCTTAAAAGTATGGCTTAACAATAAACATTACTTTGCCTGATAAGTCTCAGATCAATATAGCAAGTAAGAGTGTTAAAATACTTTGTTTCATAAAGTTTAAAATTGCCAAACATTAAGCATCAAGGTTCACTGTTGCCAAAAAAAAACCCCCCTTTGTAGCTATCTGAAGATATATTGAGCATCACATTTCAAGTTGAGCACAGCCCATGGTCACATCGGTATACTTTATACTTTGGTCATTACAAAAGGCCTATATATTTTTTAAAAAAGCTGTCCAAATGATACTGTGGTGATGGACAACTGCTGTAACAAGGCAAAGCCATACATGACACACAAATCACTGACACCCATGTATATGTACAACCATCCAAAGTCAACACATAAGGAATTTCTGAGAAGGTAGATACTATTTGTTGCACTTAAAACATCAAATGTACATAGACAATATACAGAACTACCACATGTTGATCTGGCACAGCTATTGCTACATTTTTAATATGTCTCCCAAATTCAATTTGTAAAGAGACCTAAATTTTAAATGATCTTGTTTATAATTCCTATACACAGTTCATAAATGTGCAGTTTCCTATTTTACGACTTAAGAAACTAGCACAATACTGACATTGATCAGCATGATACATTATATGTCAACTCCATTGAAGGTGACATAGTTTGTACAGCAGCTAGCTTTTCAATAATTGTTTTAAAAAGAGCTTGTCAGTAAGCAAATCCTTAGTATAGCATCTGTTAAAGCTATACTCCCACCTTTGTCAACTACTTTTAAAAAAAGGAATGGATAATGTGAAAAATGTACTTGTGATTTTTACTTGATAATTGGTTCTAGCACAAAGTGGGATCCAGTTTACATTGTCTGAAGGGATGAGAAACTGATCTGATCCAAACATCACAGCTACCCATCGGTTGCATAAACTGAGTGGACATGACTGCAGGGAAATGAGCATATCTGCTAGCTTCTGACTGCTGCTCACTGTGATAGCCAAGCCTGGTACTCCATTGTGGGGAAAATAACACAGCTGTAGCCTAGCAAGCTGTGAGTTAAAACTGCGCTGTTTTTTCCAGCAATGCTTGACTGTCAGGTTTGGGCATTGCTGTAAACAATCTTGGAATGTTCCTGGATTGTTCAGTAAAGCAGAAAGAAGCAAACATTGGTGGTTGCCCATGTTTTATGCAACCCATAAGTAGCTGTCATGTGTGCAATAGATGACCATGTCCCCTGGTACAAAAATCTAACCATGAGTGAGTGATGGGAACAGTCCACTTCATCTGAAGCTTGCAAATTCCATTGCACAAAGTAAAAGAAGCTATTATTTGAATACACAGAAAATGTTGAGTCATTTACAAATTTCACACCAGTAGGATGTGCCTCTTCAGGTAGTAAAGGTGTATAATTCTACTGTGTCTAAAAACTAATAATTTGCTTACTAAATTTTAGATACCAGTATGTGTGATTTCATTTCATTACTCAGGTGTTCTTGTGTATGTTGTCCAGACTTGTGCATCTATTCAATCTATGTTCTCAGGTATTGTATGTCCAGAGGGGGATTCTCGCAAAATGTGCTTACTCCCTTTATGAAAGTAAGTTACAAATCTCGGTCAACATTATTTTAGAATGGAATAGCCCATGGGAACAAACATGCATGTAATCCACATCGTGTCCCACCTTTGTACTGACCGCTGTACATGACACTGGGGCCAGGAATAATCATAGTTTGGTTATGTTTCTTATCCAAGGAACAAAGGAGGAAACTTTGGTATAGACACCAGGAGAGTCTTTGACTCCACAGCCATAACCCCAGGAGGTTACCCCATATACAACCCAGCTTTCTCCTGGCCGTTCACACATCAGTGGTCCACCACTGTCTCCCTGGCAGCTGTCCACACGTTTCTGCTCTTGGAGGCTGCCAGCACAGATCATCCTTCCTGTGAATCTAGTCCTATAGCGTTCTTCACAAACTCTCTTAGGAAGCAGAGGAATAGCAGCTTGCTGTAAGGTTCTGGAATAGGCTCTTCCTGTTTAAAAAAAAGATGCTGGATTTAACATATTGAATGCAAAGATTATGCCTACAGTTAAATTCTTTTATATTAGTCAATGTGATATTAGTAAGGCATGCATGCCAAACGTTCACCAGTACATTGTTAGTGTATAAATGCTGTCATAAGCTACAGAAAGCATTTGCATAAAAGTGCTTTCAATATTAAAAAGCAGTCTGAACTTCTAAAAGTATATAATAGCCTTCCCAATGCTTGTACATTTTCATATGGCAGTCTTACCAGTGAATATTGACTTGGCATGTATAGCGGAAATACTATACAGGGTAATATATGAAGGATTACCACAACTGCCCTAACAGGGTATGTAAGCTATACTGGATATGTACATTTTCCATTTGAGGACTTTCTGAGGATCATTTCCACCCCTCCCCACCCCAAATCTTTCATTTGATATTATAATTGGGCACATTATTTAATTTACATCTCCATAAAGTTGGTGGGTTTGTGGCTATGAAACATTTCCTTTGGTAAGACAAAGTTATAACCTACTAATATTTTCCTATTGTAAATTGTGAAACTTAGGATACATTTATAGTCCCCTCCAGGGGACAGTGGTACTTTCATGTTTGTGGTAAAGTACAAGCTGTAAAATGTTCATTGAAGCTTCAGCTAGACCTGCTATTAAATCTTTTTTCCATGATTTGGATTCACTTAATTTTTTTTAAACAGCTGCAAGGGAGAGCATCCTGAGGGGATGCCTCTGTCTTTCCTCCATTGCAGTTTTCACATAGTAAATTGCTGCTGTTGCATTTGACCCTGAACAAGGCTTCAGGGTCACATCAAAGTTCTTGAGAGTGATTGTCCATAGGAGATGGCTTGGGGTAGGATTCTCTTCCACTCTACCCCTGGCTTAAATCTGAATCTGCTCTTCCTGCTGCCATTAATTAGAAATGGAAACTCTGAAACATGAGGATTCAAATATTCATTTAACATCATGTCTCATTCGGCAATAAAGTGTTATTTTTATTTGCTGTTAAATTTTCCTGGTTAACTTCTACTGGAAAATATATGCTCCAAAATACTGTATTTTACTTCAACAAAAAATACAATATAATAGGCCTTTAAAAATAATGGAAGGACACAAAGGAGTCCATACTTTTGTAAGCCATTCCAAGACTTTTGTAGTGAATGGGTTAGAAAAGCTTTTAATAAATATTTGCTTCTTATTTCTCCACAGCCATTTGCCTCACCTGAGTGCTAGCAGAGGCAAGTTCCTGCTGTATTTTAACTACTTTACTGTAGACCAATATGCATTCTCACCTGTGTCACCCCAGCCAGTAATGTAACAGTTTGGGGCAGTTTTCTGTGGCCTCTCTCGCTTGACCGGCAAACAGGCAGGCAAGACGTGAGTGCTGAAGCGAGCGCACTGTTCTTCAGGTCCTTGTAGCCGCACTAGTGCAATGTCATAGTCACTGCTATCAGGCCTATATTCTTTGTGTTGCACAATCTCTTGTATGCCAATCTCTTCTTCATACTCCTCGGGGACCAATGTGTGGTAGTCTCCAACACGTACCACATAGTTCCGAGTGTTGTTGCCATACCTAAAAAGAATATAAATCTTAACAGAAGTAAATGTGTGAAACCAAAGGGATGGAATTAATGCAGTTCTCCCAACAGAGGTATCCTGAGCACTCTCTGATACAGTTTCACTGGGTGAGGTTCAGTTCTTGAGGCCTAAGAAGGTGGACAAGGTGCTTGATCAAGTCTGTGTGCTCAACCGTTTTCTGTCATGTGTTGTTCTCTGTCAAGAACTAAGCAAGGGATTTCTGCTGGGGTCCAGGAGGCCATAAACCCCACCTTGAGAGAGGAAGTGATGCCAGCCTCTTTAAAGGAAGGTGTAATTAAGCCACTCCTGAAAAAGCCTAACCTGGACCCAGAGGACAACAATGAAACATGCAGTACTTTTATCTAGGTGTGTTGTATAGAAGATTGTGTCACTGAGTTTCATAATTCCACAGTGATACATAAACATTGTGCTAAACTGAGCCTGTGAGCCTAAAATAAGAAACTCCTTGGTCTGTGTTACAAGTATAAGTATAAAGGAAATGCATTTTCCAGTGATCACTCAGCCTAGAATCCTGGCATAATTTACTTGTAAGTTCCCCACATTCTTAGCAACTGAGACAGAAATCAATACATTTCTTTGACTTCATTTAGTAACATGACAAATCAATCACAACTGATTTGTTACAACACGACACTCACAGCAAAGTGATGGATTGTTTGCAGCTTTGCTCTTTTTACAAAAGATGAATGATCGAAAACTATCTATAGTAATGAATAGTAAAACAGAATTAGATGAATTATTAGATGAATAGTACCATTAGGTCAGAATGCAGGGAAGAGGTCCCTGCTCCCTATTCTGACTGATAGAAAATTCCCTCTGATAGGCTGCAATGGCCAGTGTCTCCACATAAAACCATGATGAAGGGCCAGTTTGCATGATCATGATGGGTTAAACAAGCTTCAGTGGCTAGAGTGCAGAGAATACCACGTGTCATTTGCCCAACAACCCACCCAGGCAAGTCGTCTGAACCAAGGTGGCATAGATTGCTGTAGGACTGTCAAATAATTCAGATCTGTATTCTTATCTCAGAGAAAAAAAACTTAGTCTGATCTCTGTAGAGAACAGAAAATCTGTCCTCTGTGTAATTTGATAGATTTCAGGTGCATTTAACTAAGAAAGAATAAAGACATTTGTTCCAGTGGGGCAATTCACGTGACATGTTCAAATTCATTCATTCATTCAAAACATTTGTATGCCATCCTTCACTATCACGTCTCAGGACGGCTTACATGATTAAAAACAAACCATAAACAATTGAACAATACAATCAAATTATCAAACCAAAAACAACTAAATCTGATCAAAACCAAATATAATAAAAGCAACTGTAAACGGTAAAAATACTAATTCAGTATTTTACTAAATATAAACACATGGTTGTTTATATGGGTGCTGGTGGCATTTTGAATATACAGACCCTGCTTATGCAAACCTGATGAGTGTGGGTTATGTAAGAGTTTCTGGATGGGAGTATATGCCCCTTGAAGGACGAGGTTCATGGCCTGTGTGTACTCTGTGCCCTGCCACTGCCTTGGACTGATGGCCTATCAATGTCCCTGTCTGGCCAGGGATAGCCTTGCTTCAGTAACTCATGCTCTGGTAATCTCTAAACTAAATTACAACTATCCATTCTGTGTGGGACTGCTCTCAAAGACGGTTCAGAAGCTACAGCTTGTGCAAAGTGCAGCCTCCAGATTCATGCTCAGGACCTGTAGGTTGGAACACATAAGACCAGTTTTGGTCTGCTTGCATTGACTGCCTATATGCTTCCTAACCTGATTCATGGTGCTGATGTCAAACTATAAAGCCCTGACACAACACCTATCCCCCCGCAGTGTGCCTGGACACTGCATTCAACTCTGAGGCATTCCTATGAATGCCACCTCCAAGGGAGGCTTGACTGGTGGTAAAAGGAAGAAGACCTTTTCTGGGGTAGTCCCAAGCTATGGAATGATGTCTCCACCAAGGCCCGCCTGGCACCTACTTTACTATCTTTTCAGTGCCAGGTTAAGATGGTGCAGATAGCATGTGGTGGGGGGGGGTGATTTTCTTTTTTTAGCAGGAATATCAGTATGGACTTGAGAAGGAACAACTCACTGGAGAAGACCCTAATGCTGGGAACAATTGACAGCAAAAGGAGAAGAGGACGGCACAGGATGGAACTAGATGGAGTCACTGGGGCAGTGGGTGTGAACTTGGGTGGACTCCGAGGGATGGTGGAGGACAGCAAAGCCTGGAGGAATGTTGACCATGGGGTCGCGATGGGTTGGGCACAACTTTGTGACTAACAACAACAATCAGTATGGACTGGTTTCTCCTAGTGTTTAGCAGAAATCTTCTTCCCTGCAATTTCCACCTGTTGGTTCTAATCCTGCTCTCTGAAGTAACAGACAACCAGTCTTATTCATTTATAAAATTAACAACGGAATTCCAGAATGTCAATGCACAAATAGCTTAAAGATGAAATGCTATAGATGGCTGGCCAGATCATACATTGAATTGCAGGTTGTTTTTCTCTCTATAAGTGCATAAGGTTGCACTCAAATAGTGCAAGCGTATGCACGTTTATTCAAAAGTGAGTCCTACTAAGTCCAGTGGGGGTCTCTCAGGTAAATATGCACAGGATTTCAGCTTTAAAAATGTGGTGTCTGTGTATGCCCATTTGCGTGTGCTCAGAAGCTACTTGAGTTGCCCCAACGAGAGTTTCAGGACAATGCTTGAAGTGTCAGTGGGGTTTCTTACCTCTGTCTTCTCTACCATAGTTTCCTTACTAGAATAATGCAGTAACGCTGCCCATAGAGCCCTACCTCTTAAAACAGTGGGCTGCAGTGAGCACCCAGCAGCTGCTGATAAGAGTGGCACCACACAACAGTCTTCCATCACCATGGGATGATTTCAGGCGCAGGGCAACCTGCCAAGGCCATCCACCCCTAGATAGAGAAGAATAATTTATCTACACATTCCACGCAAAAGAGGATACATGTGAAATGGTGACTGGTTAGCACCATATCTTTGATACAGCACCTTTATACCAGCAGGAGAAAGGAAACTCAGAATCCCCTGAGATTGGGGACTTCTGAGTTGCAACAGCACGATCAATAGGATTGCATCCTTTATATATTTACCGTAAAGAATTTTTCCCCCCTATGATCCGCTTCTGGCGACGATGTAGTAATCTCAACCCGCACACGGAAGCAAGAGAATCTAACCAGGGATAGAAGCATGGAAGTTATCTTTTCCCATCAGGAAACAGGAATATTTCAAGGAAACCAGTAAACACAGAAATGCTCAACTTTATACCCACCGCCTTTATTACTGTTGCCAGATGCCTTTTTGGTTAGATAGTCACAGATCACCCCGGCATCTTCACTGTGGCGACAATTGTGTCTGCCAATATCCTGTTTTATGCAATCAGACAAAGATCTTTCATTTCCAGTGCATTTCACATTGTCCACATGGATGGGGCCCTTTCCTTCCCCAAAATATGCCATGGTTCTTGCTCGTGCTGCACCCCTAGAAATAGAAATTTTAAAAAACAATGTTTTAATGAATACTTTACAGCAACAAAAAATGAGAGGTTTGGCCTAAGAGATAGAATAATATTACCTGTAGTAGGCAATTATAAACATCATTAATTAGTACACGTTATTAATTTTCAAAGACCGGAGATTTAATAACTGAAATAGGATGGCTATTGACATTTCCCTGAGGGGTTAGATTTAGGACATTTTTCCTGGAATCAAGAAGTGAATGTGATTGTGTGCATGTAGATATAGACAGATAAAGGTATTTATGTAGGAGTCATTGCTCATATTCTATTTAAACAGGAAATTAGGTTTTGATATATATTTTAAAACAAACATTAGTATCATATTTACATAAGCTTGATTATTAATTATAATATTTGTACATTATCCTTCTGCCTTTGGTAACCCACCACAGGACATGGTGGATTAAACTTTTTGATGTTATCTCTGCTTGCATGAGCAGTAAACCGTCCACACACAGCAACAATTGATCATCTTACATTCTGGTTTTTTTTTAATTTTTTGCAGATCAAGTCATGTCATAAGGCATCACATATCTTTCCATCATGATGCTATCCAACATAAACTGTTTTCTGTGCAACATATGGGAACTGCAAGCTCTATTTTCCTTCCTTAATCCATTTAATCCTTGCATAAAATAAGCAGCTGCGTATGTTTCATAGAGTGACCCTTCTGGCAAGTTAAACTAGTTCAGACAGAAAAAGGTTCCTTATCACTGCATTATGCTGGTTATTAACTCCACCTTTGGTACTCCAAAACAAATCTTACTGACAAAATAAATATTGCAAAGAGAATTATTAAAATGATGAACAATATCTTGGTCTCCAACAAAAATTCACCCTAATTTTGTACAGGCATTAATTCTAGTGCTCAGAAACATTATGCAGAAAGCCCAAGTTTACACATATCACTACAGAAAGTAGGTGACTTTCCACTGATTAAATGCCCCTCAATACACTTCCCTACACATGCACACATACACCTGTAGATAGCTAGCATGTCTGGAAGAAAGATGCCTGAAAATCCTCACGAGCAACTAGTTTTCTATATGTTATTCTGCATTTTTAATATGGAGTCCATTTCATCATAACCTCCTGATTCTGCTTTCTGAAGTGATACAACTGACAAATAAATTTCCCACCTCATCTGCTGTTTATGGAAACTAGGTCATAGTTATAATGAATCATGTTTCATCATCATTTCCTCCAAATATTGAATTATCAAGAAACAACAGTTCAGCATTTATTGGCTGCAAAAAGGGGACTATATGACATGGTAAGGGAGATACATTTATTTACTTTCTTTTCCTGTGAGACACAAGTTTTCCTAGCAGCAATTATAAGACAAATTGTTTGGACATTAATCAGTCTCTGCAAAGCTTCACAGTTCAGTGTTATTTGCCAACTTTATTTAACATCACAATTTCCAAACATTGAAGAGAAACAGAAATACCCCAGGATATTGTTTAATGATTGCATTTACACTGCCAAAGGCTCAGACATCAACCACACAGCACAATTTCTGGTCAGAGAAATAGAACAGTGCTGTCTTTCCCAATTCTAGGTTGGCAAATTCTTAGGTTTATCCAATATATAAATGCACTTACTAAAGAGGAAGTCAGTTTGGAAGCGCAGGTTCCTCTTAGGCTGTCCTAATTCCCTGAGCGGATAAAACTCACAGTTCTATGGATACTTTCCAACCGAGTATCTAAATGTGGAATGCAGATGTCCTATTCAGTGTCTGAGAGGCTAACAAATTCATATCTAGTGTTGTATAGAAGTCAGTGGTTCTGACTTGTTGATTTTTGCAAATTATCAGGCAAATCCTTTGAGCAAATTTTTTTGGAGAAAAACAGAATAATGTTTTCTTCCTTTATAGGCAGAGGTCATTTTGCCTCAGTTCCTTGTGAAGTTAATACAATCCAAAGTATTAAGGAAAACTTTCATGAAATCCAAAAAGGAAATATACGTATGTCAGCATATTTTGATTCAAAACTCTCCCAGTATCTCCCTAATATCTTCCCAGTATCTCCTAGTCACTAGACATTACCTAAAAGTAGCTGATTGCCTCTACAAGAACAGTGACACAGTGCGTGGGACTTTCAAATCTACCAGGAGTGCTACTTAACAAAACATCCGGGATAGGAACTTAAGAGAAACCATGCTGGGTCAAAGCAAGAATCCAGCATTCTGCTCACTTCGCAGTCAACCAGCTGCCCACAGGAACCTGCACATAAGGAATGTGCAAACTGTAAATGCACATGGGAGATGTGCATGCGCCACATACTGGAGAGCACACCCACGGCTTCTGTCCAACTGGCAGATAGTCCGCATGTGTCATACACTGCATGGCCCTCACATTCTTGTTGGCTTTCTACTCTAAAATACTTTGTTTTTTGTTATAACTTTCATCATTCAAGTTGTTTACTTGGAAAGCTAAACTAAGAGAAGGTGGGAGGTTATCTATATGTGTTTATATTAACAGTTATTTGTGCAGAGTTACTTAGTGTAAGAAGGAAGCGAAGAGTCAATTTCCCTGGCCTCCTCCATCTGCGGCTAAACTCACATGGTTGCTTAATTCTCTTTATGTGATGACATTTTATCTATTTATTTTATTTATTAAAAGCTTTTCTACTCCATCCCCTACAGAACGTCTTGGGACAGCTTACAATAAATAAGTAGAATAAAACAAACCCCACAGCATCTGATCATTAATAACCCCAAAACCCCAGTTAAAAATCAATTAAACATTAGAAGAGCAGGAAAATAAAAAGAGTTTGTCCCTGGGGTTTCCCATACTTGGCGAGCTGGTTTCCTCACAGGCCACCTTCTTGTATAGCCTTAGCTAGATTTCCCCAACGATTGCTGCTACAGTCAATCTGTGCTGTGCAGCTTTACAAATACCAAAATTAAAACTTCAAAATCTAACCTACCTCTTATATTGTTATTATAATTATAAATGGCACATTTATTATTTAAAACAATGGGATGTGTGTTGTTTATAAACTGTTCTTACAGATTTTCTTAAAAATGCATTACTGCAGACTCCTTAAAGGTGCAGGATTTTGCTGCATTTCTTCCATTTTTTTTGATACATAGCATGTTTTTAATAATGTGCACCCATATCCAAGTCTTATCATGATTCCTGAAAACTATCCCATCATGTCTGGAACAGGAGATTTTGATTTAGTATTCAGCTTTAGCATTAATGTTACTGTACTACCTGTACAATGCATTTCAGTTGGGCTTGCATGTAACTTATATCCATTCTTCACTGAAAACATGAAGGAATTCCATACATGCATGCTTAGAACACACTTTTTTCAATTTTTCAATAGGAATTAATGTGTCCACTTAGAATTTTTATAATATGAGGGTCTGACCTGCTTATACCATTCAATTCAGTACAGTTCACTACTGTTTACTATAGACTAGAAAGAAGTAAATAATAAAGAAGAGAAGACTGATGAATGAAACAAACAAAAGGCAAAAACAACAACATCTAATCCCCTCAATACACCAGATAACAAATGAAGCAACCTAGAAAATTTAATCTCTGTTCTCTTCTCATATATGCTGAAGAAATCCACAATTCCATTATTTTTAGCAGCACTGTTGTTTTTGTCTACAAAATAGCCCTAGGATGACTTGTTCAACTTGTTAGATACAAATGAGGTGTCTTTTCTTGTTCCAAGCTTTCTCTCCCACTTGAACTGCTTTACTGATTGCAGATATTGTAAGGAATGCACAACTCCCTGACAGCTGCTCATGGACTGTTTTTTCCATGCATGGGCTGCGTCTGCAAGACAGTGACCAAGTGCAGAAGACTACTGCAAAATAGCATCTACTACTGCGACTGGGTTAAGTAATGCTGTTCTAGATTCATCTACTGATATTCAACAGCTGGGTTTCCTTACATACCATATGGTAATTTAGTGCATAATAAGCAACCATTGCTTAGCCTATGTTTTTAAAAAGCTGATTATTACTTGCATTTCATAAGCAGAACGGACTGATTCCTTATGTATTTTTCACGCTGAAGCCATTTGTTGATGGCTGTCATATATGGCCATTGAATAAGATGCTGTTGAGCCAGAAACCTACAAGTTACCTAATCAAAATATTGTGGAACATCTTCAGTAACACAGAGATGTTCAATTACATTAGCTATGCCTTATCAAAGAAAATTCCATTTGTTCTGAAGATATAAGGTAATTTCTCAGAGAGAAAAAAACACCTCGTTATAGCATTGTCATTACATCTTCTGCAAGTGGCCAAATGGTGGAGGCATTTAAAGGATGCAAGCAGACCATGAAGTGGTGTGCATCACTCTACCCTCAACTGATAAATAAAAAGCACACCATATGACAAATGGCAGCAAAATGGAATTCATCTTTTAAGGATGCTACCCTACACATGCTTCACAGAAAAACATGCTACAGCTGCCAATATGCCCCAGCCTGCCATGCCAGCTCATTGGTCCTGGGAATTGGATGGGTTTTTTCCTATACATGCACAGGATGGTAAGAGGGATTGGACTGTGCTAAAGAAAGAAGCACCAGCAAACAAAATTAAAAAGAAGTCCTTCCAGCCCATTCTGAATGCTGTTCTACCTTGGCCCAATTTACACCCAAGTCCTTCCCCATTACAAACTTTGCAGTGCCATCTGGCATGTCTCCCCATAACACTCCAAACTTGGCTTTGGCCATTTATGTGTTGTGTCCCAGCTTGTGAGACAGCCTGGTTGAGTCACCACCAAGTTATGTCTCATCAGAGCAGAACCTCACTCCTCACCTCCTCTGCCCACAGGAAGCCCACCAAATCCTACGGCCTGAAAGCCGCAGCAGTGTGTGCCAGCCACGAGGGCAGAGCAGAGAGGCTGAAGCTGGAAGTCTGATCTCTCCAATGGCTATCCTAGACCCTGTCTAATGGCCTCAGGATTGTGCCCTTAAAGCAACTGAAAGCA